TTCACAGAAGAAACCCCTTGCACCACCAAGATATAAAGTCTTCCAGAAAAAGTACTCAAGAAGAAAGTAGAAAAATCTAAGCCTCAAAGCACAGTAATGACCCTATTTGTCAGTAATAGTTATGCATGCCAACTCTGGAAGTAAAAACTGAATTACTAATGTCTTACTCTAAATGTTTCTGTTCCCAGAGAGAAATTGATAGGGAGAGGTGAAGTTAGCCCAGGCATTTTGAAGGAAACAGAGAGGGATCAAACTTCAAATGGTAATCATCTTATGCCAAAACAAAATATAGGGCTTCTGAAAATGGTGCATTGGTTTCAAGTTCATATCAAACATCTTAAGCAGTATAATTTGCTGATTATCTTTCATATTAAGTTCTTTTTTCCCCCTTCATACTATAGCTTCTCAAAGCCTTAAGGTCAGAATCTAATTTTAAGACCTAGAAAAAGTTTTTATTTTAATCCCAAAACGAGGATCAATTCTTCAAATGTTAAAAGTGTGATATTGCTGAAGACTGTAAATTGCTCATTTTCAGTGAGAGACTTTAGCAGTTACAAAATTGGAAAAGGAGTGAGTGGGACCAAAGCCAGAAAGAATCAAGAGAGGGAGAATCAGGCCGGGCATGGTGACTGACGGCTATAATCCCAGCACTTTGGGAGGCCGAGGTGGACAGATCATAAGGTCAGGAGTTCGAGACCAGCCTGACCAACATGGTAAAACTCCGTCTCTACTAAAAATGCAAAAATTAGTCAGGTGTGGTGGTGAGTGCCTGTAATCCCAGCTACTCAGGAGGCTGAGGCAGGAGAATCACTTGAACCTGGGAGGCGGAGGTTGCAGTGAGCCGAGATCGCGCCACCGCACTCCATCCTGGACAACAGAGCGAGATTCCGTCTCAAAAAAAAGAAAGAGAGAGAGAGAGAGAGAGAATCTTGGAGGAGCTGAGAAGGACCCAAGGGAGGGCAGAGTGTATGTGTGGGCATGAAGACCTAGGAAGAGGTATGGCTGCTTGGAAAGGGGGTGGAGGAATGCAAGAGAGGGCAGGGAATAGCGGAGGGTAGGTGAGGGGAGGAGAGTGAGTAAAATACTTGAAAGAACTAGCTAAGGAAACTAACTGGTGAATAGCAGTCAAATGCAAAAGACAGCCTCAAAGGTAGGCCCGTATTTATAAGAATCTTCCCCAAAACTCCGGAAAAGTAGAGCAAAAAAACCCTCAAAAAACAAAAAACTGGAGAATTCTGAAGAATGATAATCATAAAAACCTTTTACAAACATACAAGTAAGAAAAGCTGTCATATAAAGACCTCAAAAACTATTATTTACAAGGAAAAACAGATCTGGCTAATATAACTTAAAGTTTATTTTTTAATAGGATGTTCGCTTTTTTCATGGCCTCACTCCACAGAAAATAAAGCAATTAAACATATGCTTCTGAAAAAAAAACATAATTCTTATGTTTCTAATTTTTAGTTTTTTAATTGTGGTAAAATACATATAATACTTGCCATTTTACCCATTTTAAAGTGTACAATTTTGGTAGTATGAGGTACACTCATGATGTTATTCAACTGTCACAACTATCTATTGACAAAAATTTTTCATCATCCTGAACAGAAACTCTGTACCTACTGAACACTAACTCCCTTTTCCTCCGTCTTCCAGCCCCTGGTAACCTCTATTTTACTTTCTGTCTATGAATTACTCTATTCTAGGTACCTCATGCAAGTGGAATCATAACAATATTTGCGTGATTTATATGAATCTTATCTGTATATTTAAAACAACCTAAATGTCCAACAGCAATAAGGGAATGGAGATTTTTTTAAAAGTGATTTAGTCATATATTGGAATACTATATAGCAATAAAAAATAACTTTATTTGCATTTAAAAATCTCAAAAACACTGCTGACCAAAAAAAAAAAAAAAAGAATGCTGCTGGGCCAAACACAGTGGCTACACCTGTAATCCCAGCACTTTGGGAGGCTGAGGCAGGTGGATTGCTTGAGCCCAGGAGTTCGAAACCAGCATGGGTAACGTGGTAAAACCCAGTCCCTACCAAAAAAGAAAAAAAAAAATTAGCCAGGTATGGTAACATGTGCCCCAGAAGTCGAGGCTGCAGTGAGCTGTGATCATACCACTGCACTCCAGCTGGGGCAACAGAGCAGACTCTGTCTCAAAACAAAACAAAACAAAACAAAAAAAGTAAAAAAGTATATTCAACCTAACTCATATGTACAAAGGACACCAGGGCTGATCACTGCCTGCTCTAGCACATAGAAATCTTGATTGTCAAATTCATACATCCAAGAGGGGCAAAAACTCCCAGCTCAGGCCCAGATCTAGATCTGGCCTTCCTGTTAGGCTTCCTATTGAGCTCACTGTTATGTAAGATACAGTTATAGAAATGATTTTAAATAACCCAAGACATCATGGAATAACTATATTAGCACATCTCACATCTCCCTTTACTTTTTTTTTTTTTTTTTGAGACAGGGTCTTGTTCTGTCACCCAGGCTGGAGTGCAGTGGCGTAATCACAGCTCACTGCAGCCTCAACCTCCCATGCTCAAGCAATCCTCCCACCTCAGCCTCCTGAGTAGCTGGGACCACAGGCACATGGCACCAAGCCTGACTAATTTTTAAATATTTTTTATAGAGATGGGGGCTCCCTATGTTACCCAGGCTGGTCTTGAACTCCTGAGTTCAAGTGATTCTTCTGCCTTAGCCTCCCAAAGTGCTGGGATTACAGGTGTGAGCCATCACACCTGGCTACATCTCCCTTTTCAAAGCACACATAGTGTCTTATTTTCTGTTGTTGGTTAGTTAGGCTAAGTAAATTATAGCCAACTCACTCTATGAAATATTAGGTTGCTGTTAATAATGCAAAATATAAAGACTATCACAACATGGAAAAAAATTTCCAAAACAATATTAAATAAAAATAACAAAAAAGTACACGAAAAAGGATCACAATCATGTAAAAACATAGGTACATATGGATAATGATAGGAGGGGAACAGAATTATCAGTTATATTATGGTAGCAGAATTGAGTGATTTTTCATCTTTAATTTCTTTCAATGTTGCATTAATAAATTATTTAACCAGTGTTTTAAAACACTCTATATATTATAAAAGAATTAGCTAAACTATATCCATTTTTCATAGCTACAAATCCACAGAAACCTTTGGGTGTATTCTAAAAAATATTTTAGATCTCTCAAGTTTCATTACTTTAAAACCGAATTAGGAGTCAAATTCAGTTGTCTCTGCTTACCGACAGCACGGTCCTGGGAAAGTTACAGAATCTCTCTAATCCTTGTGTTCCTCAGCCTCTGAGCTTCTGTATTTCCAACATTGTTCAGGGAAGCCAACTGCTTAAAGATTAATCTCAGATCCTGGACCCATCCCCCACCCCGCCACTTCCTCTACCTGGGGAAAACAGTTCTTAGTATTGGATGCCACCTTGCCAGAGACAGATGAAACCTTGAAGAGTTTATTATATCCCTAAAGATAAATAACATTTGTTCCCCAAGAAGAAAACTAATATTCACTGAACACCTGTGCACCCGACACTGTACCAAGTATTTCACATATGCTATATTGTATACCTTCCTGGGTCCCACTAGACCACAGAACCAATTTCTGGAGGGAGTCAGGGCAATCTGCATCTTAAATAAATTCTTTATTTCAATAAATTTTAAATAAAGTGCATACACAAGTTTGGAAACTAAAGATCTAGGGACAAATCATTAGGGGGTTGTGGTGTACATTTTTTAAAACGTAATGGAAATTATCAGAGTATATTGCAGGTAGTAAATGTTAAGTGTTGTTTCTGTAAAAATGGTTGTCGGTTATATATTGTCTACATATGTACTAGGCCACAATATAAAATTTATTTCTTACTGTTGGTCACAGTCAAAAGGTCTGAAAAACACCGGCTGAGCATTACAGACTTAGAATAATGCACAATGAGGCAGAATAAAAACAAAAAAGCAAGAAAAAGGAGATGGCATAATATCTATAATTTAAGCTCCACAAGTATCTAAAGAATTAGCAAAATGTAAGACACCTAAATTCTGATCATTCACAGTAATAAGGGGAATTAAGGTATTGGTAAGTTGGCTAAAAGGCCAATAACGTTGCTTTAGCCAATAACCTTATTCTATCCCCACTTTTTGTTTACCGTAGATAATAACAAGTAGAATGGACAAATTAATCAAACCTCACTATCCCCTATGCCAGATGGGATGGTCGTTAAGAAATGCATGGTATAAAGAAAGAAAGGAAGCAGTTTAGTTCATTTATAATCAAATTCCAATACCTGAATAACCAAAAGTAACCATTCATTAAAACCATCTGTGGGGTCCTACTGTTGATCATGGCTAATCAGTCCTAAGTACTGTAAATATTTATTACGCCATCCCCCCGCCGCCCCTTTGTTTAAAACCAAGCCACGGAATTTATGGGAAACTAGAGTAACAACTCTATCTCTAAGTGAACTTAAGACAACCAGATTCCCTAGCAGTGGCAAGCGAGCGGCGCGCCTGCTTTTCTCCACTCCGAGGCGGGAAAAGCAGAGCTCCCGTAGCCGCGATTTTCCCTAGAGTGGGAGCGACGCGTAGCTCAAGCCAGTGCCCCACAGGAACCAGGTGGCAGTTGACCAGGTGTTCCCCCGGGAACTTGGGGCCCGGAAGGCTTGCCCACAGAGAAGAATAAAATGCGATCCCACCTGCATACATACAAACACGATCGCACGCGCCAAGCCAGGACGGAAGCACAATACGTGTTTCTGTCGCGTGGGGGAGACTCGAAAGGCGCGGGGCGTGGAGGACGGTAGCAAACCCTTCTCAACCCCCGGCCCACTGCCCCTACCCTTCTGCCCCCGCCTTTCCAGATTGGCTGGAGATCGAGTCCTCAGATCGGGAATTCACGCGCGGGAAAAGCGTAAAAGAGAGCGAAGCGTGCTGACGAAGGGGACAAATGAAAACCCCACAAACTTACCTTGGTGGCAGCCGCCGCCGCTCGCTGTCTGACCCTGAACTATAGGAGCAAGCCTCCGAGACTGCGTAGCCGCCAGAGGGGAGGGTCCGGACCTGTTCGAGCCGGAAAGAACCGGCCTCCGCTGTGGGCAGGTTCCCGCTGAAGCGAAGCTAACCCAGACTGAGGCTTAAAAGGGGTCGACCTGGTTAACTAGAAAGGGCGACTAGTGACCCTGACCTGGACGCGCTCGGATTGGTCGATTCCAGTGTTGTCTCAGATGAGACTCTTCTATGATTGGCCAGAAAAGTCAAGCGGGAACCCGGAGGTTGGCAGGTGGGGGGCGGGAACAAAACAAAGTTGTTACCCTAGCAACAGAGAGACGCCGCGCTCTCCACAGTCTTTTCCGAGCCTAGCCTGAGACCGGAAAACTGACCAAGGTGAGGAAACTCGAACCTTAGGAGGGGAAAAGACAGGGTCCTCAGATGCCGTGGCTATCAGAAAAACTAGGGAAAACTCTAGATATTCATAACTCTGAGAGATACCCCCCAAAAGCCACAACTTGAACAAGGTAGAGGAGACCCGTTCCCTAAATCCCGCTATCCTAGACTCTAGAAGCAGGACGCTGCTTTAACAAAACTCGGTTTTACAGGATGTGAGTGAGAGATGGGTGCTGATCGACTGTCAGAAGGCAAAAATGAACATCTGAAGGTTTCTCAGCTGGTCTTCTCTCAACTCTCACATGCACTTATTGATTCTCCCTTACCATTAATAATGACTAATTTGGGAATGTAAACCATATTCTCTTATAGGAGGATCTCGGTGCTCCAAACTGGAGCAGCCACTGTACCCTTCTGTTTTATATGTGCCACTGTACCCTTCTGTTTTATATGTGCCACTGTACCCTTCTGTTTTATATGTGCAGGCACGATTTATCCTGGCCTAGCATGCCTTGGTTAGGAAATGTTTTGGGGGATGTAACATTTCAGACTGGGAAAAAAAAAATGGCCCCAGTACTCACTATGTGAATAATGTCCTTTGTGCGACAACTTGAACGCTGTGGCCTGAGAGTTCCAGTGTTGCTTGGTTAGATAAGCTGAGGAGTGAGAAGTGGTCAGACCTTCACTTGGTGGGCCCGAGTGTACTGTGCAGAGACTACTTGTACCTACAAAACCTACTACTCGCCAAGGGCTGATTGGGAAAGTATTACATGTCGTTTGACTGTAACTGTCAAAAGATGAGGAAGTATGACCAAAAAAATTAAATCTGAATGAAGGGAGAGAACCTAGTTTGACCAAAGAGGGAGGAGTCATCACTCCTTAAGAGCTTCTTGTGATAAGGATTCAGAACAGAGACTGTATTTCCTAAAGAAATAAAAAAAATAGGACTCGGGGAGAAAATTTAAAGCACAGCAAGAAAATTTGCCGGGCCAAGCGCGGTGGCTCCTGCCTGTAATCCCAGCACTTTGGGAGGCCGAGGTGGGCAGATCACTTGAGGTCAGGAGTTCAAGACCAGCCTGGGCAATATGGCGAAACCTGGTCTCCACTAAAAATATAAAAATTAACCGGATGTGTTGGCGCCTGCCTGCCTGGATGCTGAGGTGGGAGAATCACCTGAGCCCTGGAGGTCGAGGCTGCAGTGAGCCGTGATGGCGGCACTGCACTCTAACCTGGGCGACAGTGAGACATGGTCTCAAAAACAAAAGAGGTCTCATACTCCACCTCTATCTAAAAAGAAGTCCCTCCAACTTCCTTTTAGATAGAGATGGAGTATGAGACTTCAGATAGATAAACAAAGAGGAAAAAATATTAAGTGTATTAAGCTTGTCTGAAATGTACTATATAGCATTCGATAATTCAGGATGGGTCCTACAGAAACCAAGGATTTGCCTCTCCATATAAAAACTAATTTTTTTGTAATCTCAGCACTTTGAGACTCCTAAGCGAGGGATCGCTTGAGCTCAGGAGTTCGAGACCCATCTGGGCAACACGGTGAAGCCCCATCTCTAAAAGTAATAACAAAAATTAGCCGGCGAAACCCCGTCTCTACAAATAATACAAAAATTAGCCGGGCACACTGGCGCAGCCTGTAGTCCCAGTTACTTGGGAGGTTTGAGGTGGGAAGACTACTTGAGCCAAGGAGGTCGAGGCTGCAGTGAGCGGAGATCGTGCCACTGCACTTCAGCCTGGTCTACAGCAAGATCCTGTCTCCAAAAAAAAGAAAAACAAAACAAAAACAAAAACAAAACTCACTTTTCAAAAAGAATTGGGATGGTACAGACTCCTCATGAATAAATGACTAAAATAGAGGAAATCTGAAATCAAGAGGTGCTTTTTTTTTTTTTTTTTTTTTTTTGAGAGTGTCGCTCTGTCGCCCAGGCTGGACTGCAACCTCCACCTCCCGGGTTCAAGCGATTTTTGGCCTCAGCCACCTGAGGAGCTGGGATTACAGGCGCGCGCCACTATGCCTGGCTAATTTTTGTGTTTTTAGTAGAGACGGGGTTTCACCATGTTGGCCAACTGGTCTCAAACTCCTGACCTCAAGTGATCCGCCGCCTCGGCCTCCCAAAGTGCTGGGATTACAGGCGTGAGCCACCGCGCCTAGCCAAAAGACACTTTTTTTAAATTTAATAATCAATAACTATTTAATTTCTTGACCTCTTTTTCTATGAAAGATTCCAGGTACTTTCAAAAAGCATCTTCCTTAAATATGTTTTAAATTTGAAACGAAAACTGTTAAGTTCCCATAGTTACTTATGAGTTAGTACATTTTTTGGTAGTGAAAGTTAGAGACAGGAAAAAGAAACCATTCTTAGTATTGTAATGATACATTCAAAATGAATTATTTTTAATAGGTGGGAAATCATTGATGAGTATAGTTATCAAATAATGCAAAGCAGAAAGCAATTAGTCAGTATATTATAATTTAATTCAGACATAGGCAGAGATGATGTCACTTTTGTGTTCTCAGGAGAATTTTAAAGGAGGAATTGCTAAATTAAGGCACTATATAAATAAAGTTGCTTCAATTTAGGAAAGCTGATTGAAAAAAATAAATAAAAAATATGAAGTTGCAGAAGAAATGCCAAATTTATTTAGAGAATAAATAGATTTTCAGTACTTTCAAATCATTGTGTTAAAGTCAGTATTTTACATAGGGATATATCTATTTACTTAAACAAGTTCCAAAAGGATATTGCCTGGTGAATTTTTTTTTTTTTTTTTTTTTTAGATAGAGTTTCTCTCTGTCACCCAAGCTGGAGTGCAGTGGCACGATCTTGGCTCACTGCAACGGCCACCTCCAAGGTTTCAGTGATTCTCCAGCCTCAGCCTCCCAAGTAGCTGGGATTACAGGCGCCCGCCACTATGCCCGGCTAATTTTTGTGTTTTTTAGTAGAGACAGAGTATTGCCATGTTGGCCAGGCCGGTCTTAAACTCCTGACCTCAAGTGATCCGCCCACCTTAGCCTCCCAAAGTGCTAGGATTACAGGATGAGCCACCGCACCCAGCCCTGCTTGGTGGTTCTTTATCACCCTGATTTTATTTACTATATATACTTTAATTAATAAAATTTACTATTTGAATAGTCTGTAATTCAGAGTTTTCACTAATTTACCTAGACTTTTCTACAATTAACTGATGTCAAAAGCCATTTTTGTTGATACTGTAGATGGAGGCAAATAAAATAGAAAGCATGATCCCAGCCTTACAACCAGTCTGACTTTAACTCAAGGTTACTGATATTGCTTAAGTGCTGTGGGTCTGGAGCCAACCTGGTTGAACTTTTTCAGCCCCTGACTGGCTCCAGTGTTAGGTTAATGAGCTGGTTCTGGAGTGTCAGTTGCTTTAGCTCATTGTGGCTAGTAGATGGTCCAATCATGCTTCTATTTATGAAGACCCCAAGTACTCAGGTTAATGTGGGAAAATCAAAGGCTCTATCTGGAAAATGTTGCCATTAGCATTGGCCTAGCAAAAGAAAATGAAAGAAAGAAAAACAAAGAGCTTAGAAAATTTATTTTCTAAATGACCAACTCTCAAATAAAAGACAGTAATATATTTTGTTTTTACTGAAACGCTTAAATTTTCCTTAGTTTAAATTTATTCTTGGCCTATGTAAGTGACAGTGCCAGATTCAAACATTTTAGGCAGTGTGGCTCCAGAATCTTCTTTTTTATTTTTTATTTTCATTATTTTATTTATTTATCTATTTTTGAGGCAGGGTCTCACTCTGTCTCCCAGGCTGGAGTACAGTGGCCCGGTCTCGGCTCTTCCATCTCTGGGACTCAAGCTATTATCCTGCCTCGGACCCCTGAATAGATGGGACCACGAGGGCACGGCACTGCGCCCGTCTAATTTTTGTGTTTTTTGTAGAGTCGGGGTTTCGCTATGGTGCTCAGGCTAATCTCGAACTCCTGAGCTCATGTGACCCATGAACTCACCTTGGCCTCTCAAAGTGTTGGTATTACAGACATCAGCCACCACACTCGGCCAGAATCTTCTTTTTAAAAATCACTACACTGTACTATTCAAGTAGTCAGGGCAAAAGGAAGAATACACTCCAAGGTACAAAGGCAGGAAATGATAGAGTATGTTTAATAAGCAGTTTAGTTTTTAACACAGTATGTAGGAGAATAATAGGAATGAAGGACAAAAAATTACGTTGGGACTATATCCTGAAGGACCTTGATTGCCAGACTCAGGATGAACTTAAATGTATATCACATTTAGAAATAAAAGATAGACCTATAAACTAACACTGCATAGTTCATTGTAGTAAAGATAGTTCACTACAAATAGTTCATTTGTAGTTCCTAAAAAGTCCTCCTGTTTTCGTTTTTCAACTGTGATCTACTTGTGTCAAATGAACTTTAATAAATGTTTTTAATCAAGTTTAGTAAGTTATTCTTAGTATATTAGACTTCTTAAAAAGCTAGTAGAATCTTCCTTTCCATTGAATTTAGAATGCTTTTTTCTAAAAATTCACAAATTGCTTTTCTCTTTTGATACTTTGAACCATTTAACTAGTTAGTCACAAAATATTTGGGATTCCTTTGTTTCTCAAAATGCAATATCAACAAACTTGTCATGATTTATTTATTTTTGTTTTCATGATTTATTAATTTGTGTTTACAGATTATTATTACATTTGAAGGTAAAAATACTTTGGCTAAAGTGGTAATTTTATTTTTATAT